GGAGTTAATCCCCTATCTCCTCCCAAACAGGTTTGAGAATCCATCCCCTATCTTCCCTCAAACCATGGAGTACATCCCCTATCTTCTCCCACACAATACACATATTCCAAGTATATAAACAATTACCATATACAGGGATCACCCAATACACATATTTGATGTATTATTCCAACCGTCATATTCAATGATATATTCAATGTGATTAGTTTCAGTTCTCCCTAATCAACATACAGTGTCTACAACAATCAAGACTATCCTCCACTGATAGCCCAAAGCTATTATTTCTAAACAGAACATAAATGCGTTATACAGATATAACATCAACATTTACATAGGTGAGTGATAAATTAATCCAACTACACCATTCAATCCCGTAATCTGCCAATTTCATGGATTTCAACTCAATTTCATATTTTCCCAAACTAATTATACTAATTAATTTATTTCAATAATTAGGGCATTTCCCCCTTTTCTCAATATCAACCCTAAGGTTTGATTTCACCAATTTAACAACAATAATTCTATTTTCCAATGTCTCACATACACATGGGTTTTAATATTTGAAAACCCCTCTTTCATAAATTACACAATAAACCCTAAGGTTTCTCAATATTACCCAACAATACCAACTAATCAAAATGACCAAAGTTTATATCAAAACTCATAAGATGGAGTAGGGTATCCCTACCTCGAAATGAAGAGCTCAAATGGAGAAGATGACCAAAATCCAAAGTGTTCCAAATCCAAGATTTTTCATATTAAAAGGAAGCCCAAGTCACCCTCTATCTTTCTTGCAAAGAACTTAGGGTAGAAACACACTAATAGTAGATCAATCCCAAGGGAGAAGGTAAGTGTAGAGAGAGGAGCAACCGGATCTAGGGTTTACACAAGAGAGGAGATAAAAAAAATGAAGTGTAATCCCGCTGCTGCCTACTGATATAGCACAGGCTCGCTCGAGCGAAGGATTGGTCGCTCGAACGACCAGACACAAAGAACCCTCGCTCGAGCGTAGAAAGCCTCGCTTGAGCCAACAAATCGAAGTTTTAGGTCTGCAACCAGAAGCACGCTCGAGCGAAGAAAAGCTCGCTCGAGCGAAGAACTCCAAAACATAGTCCTCGCTCGCTTGAGAGAAGGAAATCTTGCTCGAGCCAAGAAATGCAACTCTCAGGTCCAAACCCAGACGCAGACGCAAGCTCGAGCGAAGGACTTCTCGCTCGAGCCACCAGACACAAAACTCAACTCTCGCTCGAGCGAAAGAACCCTGGCTCGAGCAAAGGATCTAAAACACAGAGCTCGCTCGAGCGACAAAAGTCTCGCTCGAGCGAAGGACCAAAAGTCTGGGCATCAACCATTTGCTCCCAATCACACCCAACCTGTAACAATCCTGCCCAAAACATCCTATAACTCAAATACAAAGTATTGAAGGACGGAAACAAGATATAAACCACAACCGACATCCACCGAACCAAGTCCGGATACAACAACCAAAGGAGAAAGAATCGGGATCACAATAAAAAGGATGGTGAAATTTATTGTGATAAATACTATTTTTCTTTTTTAAGATGGTAGTGGTGGTTATAATCTTTCATGTGCTAACAACTCCAAAATTGTTTGGTCATGATGCAGAAGCTGGATGGTGAGGATGTAAGAATTGTGGACTATTTTCATGTGATTGCAGGAACAAGCACTGGCGGTCTTGTGACTACTATGTTAACTACTCCAAATGAAAATAATCGGCCGATGTTTGCAGCCAAAGATATTAAAGGCTTTTACCTTGACAATTGTCCCAAAATATTGCCACAAGAGAGGTAATAATTACAAACAATTAAGAATTTTTGTACAAAATTTTCATACAAAATATTATATATAACAGTTTTTATGCTGTTATTTCAAACTAAAACACATACCAATATTAGTTATATAAATTATTTTTGTGGATTCTTTTCTTTTTCCATTCAATGATGATGATACTATGTAGTGGGAGTATTAATATGTTAAAACTTTAAAACAAGCAGCTCTCTATTTCCTCAAGCTACAAAGGTAATCAAAGTCTTATCATGACCAAAATATGACGGGAAGTATCTCTGTGAAATAGTTAAGGAAAAGTTAGGGAGACAAACCTACATTAGACATTGACTAAAGAGTCCTATATAAATATAAACAAATCGTCTGTCCTCTTATAAGAAGAAGAAGAAAAAAAAGCCGTCTCTCTATTTTGTACATTAATGATGATTGAAGAATAAAAAACAATTACTCTTTATTATTTTCTGTGTCTGCTTCCAACTTGATTTTTGGGAGTACTAGTATGTAGTAGTCTTTAGCAATAATGCCACAAGAAGTAAGGGAAGGCGAGGCTGTTAGGTTGGCAATGGCACTACCACCATATGTATGCCATCTTTGTTGCTAATTATGTGTCCAAGTATTCCAAACCTCTACTACGAACCCTCACAATCCCTATATAAAACCGGGATAGTTTAATTTATAGGAAATTCTAAGGATAGAAAACCTTTGTGGGGATGCAAAACTTATTATATACTAACATTCTATGTCAAAGTTGCATTTGTGATTTGGTGGGTTAGTAGTTGTTTTATGTGATCAGTCTTTGTTGAAAATAAAGCTGAAATATAAGAGAAATCACAACAAAAAATTTAAATTTTAGAGACCAAAATATAGAGATAAAATTATTTTTTAGGAACAAAATATTTTTGTTGCGAAAAATGTCGTCGTTATATTTTAAGCAACGAAAATTGGACATTGGTGATGAATTATTATCTTTTTTGAACCAATTTTTTTGTCGTATAAAATAAACCTTTTGAGACCAAATTATTTTGTCTCTAAAAGTGTATTTATTAGTGATTTAAAATTGTGGCTAAAAGCTTTGTTTTTTATTTTTCGAAACGATCTTTTAGCGACTATCTTTACGACGATAAAAATTAGCTCATAAATGTTTTTTGCAACAAAATTTTTGCTTTTAGGAATCAAAAAATTTAATCTCCAAAACTCTTATATATTGTAGTGAATAAAAATGACAAACTACCATCTTTAGTACCAAAAAACCAAAAAAAAACTATTAAAGAAGGAAACAATCAAGAGTTTTTCATTCATTAGTATGATTCAATAAACAATCGGATCTAACTCGGTATGGTTCGTATGATAAGTTCAATTGTTTTTACCAACTCAATTAAAACCAATAAGAAATTTGGGTAGGTCTAGCAAATGAAAATACCTCTAAAAAACTTGATCATACTGATATATACCTTCTTCATATTATTCTGTACACCTCATGTTGAAAACAATTCTATAAATTAGCCAAAGAACATATTGTGCTATATAATAATAAATATTAACCTTACTACTTTGATTAACATAAAGCTCAAATCAAATCCATGGCAACCATGACCAAATAAATAAGAATCATCATCAAAACAATGAACAACCTTCACAATTAAAAAGCCAAAAAATAAATGAATAAATAAAATCTATTTATATCTGTATCATTTGTTTCAAACAATCCATTTTTCTTACAAACAAGTGTTGCCTATTCTAATTTATAGTGATAACTCGGTATGGTTCGTATGATAAGTTCAATTGTTTTTACCAACTCAATTAAAACCAATAAGAAATTTGGGTAGGTTTAGTTGGGTTTTAAATGAGTTTAATTTTTTTCAGTTCTACTTTATAAAGAATAGTTTTTTAGTTTAATGTTAAAATGCTTAAATCATCAAAACTCAAAGTAAGTTTTCACTTCATGTAGTCATCAACCTTTTTAGTGTAAGACCACGATTATCCTAGTCATTAAGGTGTTTTTCATATTAAATGTGATATTTGAGTTCAAATTTTCACAATATAGTTTCTCTTTCTAGGACTTCACTATGCAATCACATGAATGATAGAAAGTACCAAGACCCTAATGCTGTGTTTGGTTTGGTTGGAAGATTTGAGTAAGGATTTAAAAAGAGAAAGAGAAAGGGGAAGAGTGTGTGAAACTAGGTAAAATGTAAGTATATATTATTTACATTTCACCTAACTTTTCTCTTTCCTTTTTCAAATCCCTCCTCAAATTCCCTAACCAAACACAGCATAAAACAAGTGTTTGATTATCGAAAAGTTTATATACACAAAATTATTAGATTTTAAAAGAAAATTTAAAATGTAGATATCAGAAAATAGGACGACTTTCGATGAAAATAATTAGCAGACTAGCAAATGAAAATACCTCTAAAAAACTTGATCATACTGATATATACCTTCTTTATATTATTCTGTACACCTCTTGTTGAAAACAATTCTATAAATTAGCCGAAGAACATATTGTGCTATATAATAATAAATATTAACCTTACTACTTTGATTAACATAAAGCTCAAATCAAATCCATGGCAACCATGACCAAATAAATAAGAATCATCATCAAAACAATGAACAACCTTCATAATTAAAAAGCCAATAAATAAATAAATAAAATCTATTTACATCTGTATCATTTGTTTCAAACAATCCATTTTTCTTACAAACAAGTGTTGCCTATTCTAATTTATAGTGAGCGATAAAGTCCTTTGTGTAACTTGAAGGAATAAATGACAAAGATTAAAACAGTGACACAGTGCATGAGTCTCTAGCTAAATAATTTGGCATCCAAAGGTTCTTCAAGATTGTTGTGGGATCCTCACATCCTTCACGATTGAGGTTTCTATCCACTATTCCCATGTGATTTGTGGATTACAATGTACCTTCATGTCCATAAAGTAACCTCATTGTGCAAATCATAGACATTTTTCGATATTTTTTTGGGAGGTAAAATTCACTTTAACCCCGTGTTTTACTCAATTTGTGGTTTACCTTCGTGACATTTGAAAGTGAACACATAACATAACTTATTGTTAGCATGTTAACTTGGATAGACTATACGACGGTACACTTTAACCTACAAACCACATGAAAGTTATGCGGCTATTTCTAAATGACAGGGGACAAACAACACGGGGAGAGTAAACCACAGGTAAAGTGAAGTTTTCCCAAACTAATAAATCAATTGGTTGAGGTCTCTATTGCTTTCACATTACAAATTATGTACACTAATGGATTGTCTGGTTTGCAGGTTTTGGATAAGGATCAACCCAACATTTATCCTCCTCAACTGCATTATTCCATCTACTCTTGAAAGTCTGCATTTCAAATACAGACTGTTTCCTCACCTGCACACAAATCATCAATCACTACATGTTCCCCAAAGATGAGATGAGACACAGATGAATTAAAAGGGATGAAGTAAATCATCTATGGTAAAGATAATAGAATTTGTTGATCTTTGGAAATGTTAATAATTGATGTGAGCAAAATTATCAGGGTTTTTAGTATAGTCAGTCATTGTATTAGAGTCTAACTAAGAAGCACGGACAAGCGAAATCATTTGTCTTTAAAAAAAAAGTCCGGTCTATTATAAAAATCACATTTGTCAAATGTGATCAATTATGTGGCTACCAATATCTGATAAATCTTAAGTTTCTGCATGGATGATCTGCTTGGCAGATTTTACAAAATGGACGGCTATGATCATTTCAGTGGGGCACAACAGGGCATGCTGTGCTAGGCCACAACTCATCCCAAATCCCAGAAATGGGCCCGGGGGATTCTCAGTTGATACAAAAATAATTAGAGAATGTGAATAATGAGCCACCGACAATAAACCTTGTTTTATGTTTTAAAAAAAAGAGTCGTGACAATGTTTGGGATGTTCTAAAAAGTCAGCTTTTTGGCTAAACAAGCCAAAAAGTCAAAAAACATGTTTGTCATCATGTGAAAAAGCCAAAAAGCCACAAAACTTATAGAACACGCGGGCTTTTTAGATTCTATATAAAAAAGTCAAAAAACAAAAAAACTAAAATAAAATAAACCACTGAAAAAAAGCCAAACCCAAACGAGCATCAACTACTTCACATTAGTGATTTAGTGTAGTGAGGGCATGCAAGTTAAAAGAACCAACAGAATCTACAAATTGCTCTTGACAGCAGAGACACTTCATTATAGTAACACCAAGAAACTTACTTCAGTTCTAGCGTCAACTCTGTGCAAATCCTGCAATTTCAAAGATAATAGGTTCTCAGTTATGGTCTGACAAGAAAAATAGTAAAAGAAAACATGTTTTTCTGAAAAATAAAACCACAAATCAAATCATAAGCAAACAATACCTAAATAAGTAGGAACTACATATGCTATGCACCAGGAACTAGTCCAGGAAAATTTATCCAATTTTTTTGACAAATAAGCCCAATTTCAAAAAGTTCACTTGTCTCAACTCAATTATTTTAAACAATGATATACACAGTCTGCTTGAAACTCACTAACATGTCAAGTACTCAATGGTCAATGCTAGAGTGGGCACATAACAATGAACAATCAATATTCGACACATCAGTCAGTTTAAATCAGTTTAACAATCATAAATCATTGCATATTTATTGATTGCTTTTGGGACTAATCCTGCCATGAAACTAACAGTATTCTGTCAACACAATATCCATCCATGGCATTCTATGGGAAAATATCCCACGAATTGGAAAATTTGTACCTTTTGAAAAATCACTCCTTTTCAATACGTTTTCGTTTCTGTTTTCTGCTTTCAGTTTTTGGAAAATTTGTTTTCGAAAACTGGTTTCAAAAAAAAAAAAATGATTGAAACAACTCAGTTTTTAAGAAACACCAAAAATTTGTTTGCACAAAAATGAAAATATGCTGTTTTCGAGCTTCTTCAATGTTTTATTTCTGGGAACATGAAAAACAAAAAAGCCACAAAGAAAATGAAAACACAACCAAACATGCATAACACTGCATCTAATCTGATGATTTTTTGGTTTGAGATGAATGATTAGGTACTTTATTAGTTTATTACTCAACTACATGAACAAGAACAAATAATAGAAAAAAGACAATCCAAAAGTCAATGGTAGAGAGATGCACATGAAAGCATCATGGTTAGGTGACATCAATATTACTTTGAACTAAAATAACAGAAAACCTCCCACCCTTAACAATAAAATATCATGTTCTTCTTTAGCAGATCAACTGTATTAAAAGACTGATTGATTGCTGCTTTTATTTCCGAACCAATAATCTATATAGTTGGTTCAGAAAAAATGACAATGCAAAGAGGTTGGGAAGACAGTAAAACTTGTCCAATCAATGGCAAGATGGTGAGATCTACTTCCTTTGATGCTGAAAATGCAAGAAATTCACTGCTCTCTTGAACATAGTTAATTGACAAGGAGCTGAGTCATTTCTCCCAATGGGGGCTAGTAAAAGGTCTCAAGATTAATCTTTTTGATCTTAATGAAATATAAGAAAAAAACTCAAACCATTACGTGCCTCCAAAAAAGCCTAAATCTCGAAAGAACGGAGATTTAAAACACTCACTAGGATGGGACAACTACCGATACTGGATGAAACAGTCTCAAGATTAGTTAATTGTTTACATTGACTAATTTGATCGACAAACAAAACTGTAGAAATTTAATGTATAAAGAGAAATAGAGAATTGTATTATTGATTGATGAATTGATTCATATTCTGTCTATTACAAATGGTTCCTTATATAGATGTACGTGTAGTGGATGGTGTGTAGTGGATGGTGATAGTGGTGTAGTGGGTTAGGTTTAGTGGAGTAGTGGATGGTGTGTAGTGGATGGTGTGTATGGTGTAGTGGGTTAGGTTTAGTGGAGTAGGTGAGGTGGTAGTGGTGGTAGGTGATGGTAAATTCTAACAGCCCCCCGCAAACTCAAGGAGGATAGAAACTAACCAACTTGAGTTTGAAGAGAGGAACAAAACAAGAAAATACATAAAATAATATGATTTCTCAATTCTCAACAATATTACAATTCAATATTCATCAACCTAACCAAACGCTACCTTAA